TGACAGGAAACGGGCACAAAATTTACATCCTCATTAGATCTCAAAGACAAGCTACATTGAAAATTCAAAAGACTGTGCCCCTAGCCTTTTATATTGTTCATCAGTATTCGAACATTTGATACCCTTATGCTTACTTTAAACCAGTGACTTATCATCAAGTAACCATGTCCTAGTTAAAAATGGTAGACATATATTCTGGTCCTGTGCAATTAGCAAGCCAGAAATTCACCTGAACTTGCTGGCAATCAGCGACAAATAACGCCGGCCGCAACAAGCCCTCCATTCTTCGAGGTTTCGAGCCTTCTCACTACAAGCGTTCTCTTCACGATTAACGATTCTGATATAAAATTTCCACCCTCAGGGTCGGCGATCGAGCAGTCTAGTTCGCCGCGCGATTACTGCTCGGAGATCATCGCCAATTGTCCCCCGTTGGTGAGTCGAGTTACACATCGGCTGACAACACAGCACCTATTAACTGTACATAAAAATCATTGTTTTCTGTTAAACAGCAATCAAACGAAACGCAGAAATAAAAACTGTACAGTTAAAAAGGCATAGGCGAGAAAAAGTTTAGATCGTTCGTGAACTAATGAAACAATTATGCATACATAAACAATAAACATTCAGTCCATATCAGGAATGTCGTCAAAGGTATATCCTTTATATCCGCGAAAGGCACCGTATGCTAAATAGACATGGTAAAATCCGGGAATAAACATGATTGCTCCAAGGATTAAAACGGGCCACGTTCGATCATTATACTAAACGCAGAAAAGAAATGAACACAGAATTGATTGCAAATCGCTGAAAGAATCAGAAAAATCTATAGTAAGATCGTAACACATCTCAGTTTATAAAAGCCAAAACAAGAAGCAATCATTAGTAGAAAAACAAAAGCAAGCCCTAAAACTTTTCAAAGTCGTTAAGAGATACCGACACTGTTTCCACGCCTTAGTTTGTTTGTTACAGTAAGAAATCTTTTTCAAGTTTCTTTGTTACTGTGAGTTATTTGCTGGTTTTGTTTGAAGAAGGCCACAGTTGTGTGAACGTAGGCGATTAAAACTGAACGTTCTTTGACAGTGATCTTAACTTCAGCCCATAACCAATGAACAGAAACACAAGCCATATGACAGGAGAATAACAGTTATAAAGTTCATTCGAAACAGCGATAAAGGAAGGTCAAAGTCACAGCCAAATCGAATTGTGTAAAGACGAGACAGATCAATAGTATCAGAACAGACATCGAAGACTGCACGTTAGACTGTAATGATCCAAACAATTCACGTGTAAAACGGCACATCTCAGAGCTGACAGCGTAAGTTTGGAGACGAAACTTAGGAAAAATCCGAGCTGTGCTTAACGAATAATCAGATCAGGCTACATCCTTTTCAGCAACGTATCTTCAAAAAATTATATATCCATTAAATAAAGAAAAGAAAGCTTGCAGCCGGAGGGATGTCGACATAAAAAATCACTTCCTGCATACCAAACATCATTACGCAGGGTAAGCGAAGTTTCTAAGCTTACCGTACTCCAGATTAATATGACGAAAAAGGTCCATCACAAGACTTAATAAAGTTAAAGCAGTGTGAGCAACAACATCAGTCAAATCTTTCTTGTCCGAAGGCGTATAGTGTAGCATTGTCACTGTGTGAATGTCATCAGCCACAGAAGTACCTTAATAATGAAAGCAATGCCTGAAGCTGTGTGACAAACACATGGTAAAGTATTTTAACTATGTGAAGTAGCTTACACAGACCTGTAGCGTATTTGAAAAGCCTTCAGAATTCAGACCGGAACATTGCACAATTAGGTGAAGAGAAGTGGTCGACTAACGCATTCAGGAAGATGAAATATGAAACATACAGGCGTAAAATCAGGAATTTGGACCCGGAAACAAAAAAACCCACGAACCATTGGGGAGAACAAAGAGTGATCCAAAAAGTTATACCTAAATGAACTAAATACTGAAATGGCACTAGAGTGGACTCATGGAATCCCATAAACGGTTAAGTGGAACACAGTAGACAAAATTCCATAAGGATCCGAAA